GTGCTCTGCCCATCGCGGGTATCGAAACCCGGTTTCTAGCGTTGTAAGTCCGCAAACATACCGCTGTGCTACTGGGGGGCTCCAGGGATAACTGTTACCATAAAAATTGTTTACCGTATATTGATGATACCTTCATCTTTTTTAGTAAAAAAAAAGATGAAAATTATTATTCTTAGGGATTCGAATACAATGCGCCACTATATTTGTTATCAATTCGATTACAACATCCATAGTCTTGAGAAGAATGGGTAAAAGATGGGTAAAATGGGTATAAATCTTCCCAGTGATAGCAGCCAAAGCGGGCGAAACATTTCACATGTTTTGCATTATTCTTTCTACTTTCCGAAAGTTTTATGTCTGTCCGTTTGATATTTTTTTCAACTACATAACTAACGTTACAACTAGGTAGGCTTTATCACTAAATCCAGATCTTTCATTAGAACGAGTTTCTGTTACTATATTCTATGGGTATTCGACATTTGTCTTTTTCCACAAGGAATGTATTCAGTCAGCAATTTTGCTTCCAAAAACTATCTGTTATTACATGTTCTTTATTTTGTTTTCCCGTGTTCTTCCAGTTTGGTAGTATGAAAAACAATCCTTGAACATAAAATAAAGTAAAACTCTATTTTGTCATTTAACATTTTCCTTGTTGTGATATCTAATACAATGTTGCAGGAAAAACAATGGGTATATATATAAAAAAAGTCTAGAGCTTGTCTATATTTCTTTCTTCTTTTCTTACTTATATTTGTACCGTGCAGTTCTAGCGAAAATTGATGAGAGGACAATTGAAAATTTAGAAATAAATAACACTACAGAATCGTCAGTTAAAATAGTTGAATTTATTGCAGTTTAAATAAAAATATAACACATATAAAAATATTGAAATACTGTTAATAAAATTTACTTTTTTAAACTTTAAGAAAATACAAACTTAGTTTGAACGGAGTCACAGAGTTATAGTACAATTTGTATGACGCTCAACAACATTACTAAATACAAGATATACAAACTATATCTATTCGCTTTATTGATTTATTTTCTTATTTGTTCTAAGAAATTTAAAATCAATTTTACATGCATGACTTGATTTTAGTGCACGTGTCTTTTAATATTGTTCTGGTTATTGGGGCAAAATCTGGCACTTGAACTATATAATGGCTTGTTTCAAAACATGTCTGTACAATTCTTTCTCTCTTTAGTTGCAACACATTTCATCTCCTAAAGATTAATTTATTTAAACTCTACAATAAATTTCAGGTTTAGTACCGAATTCCTTTACACACACCGTGTTGGCTTTGAAAAACTTAATTTTAATAAACTATAAAGCCTAAACTGTCGTTTCAAATTCAACAATAATAGTAATGTGAATTTTTGATATATTTTTTGCTTTTTATCGATAAAACATATTCCATACAAAGACAGAAAACAATTTTTCAATACACTTGATATTGGAAGAGATATATATATGGATTTAAATTTAATATGAAATACGTTAAACTTGTTGTATCTGATGGAATCATAACATAACCAGTCGGTTATTACATTTTCGACCTATATGTATTCTTCCCCCAGCTTCGTGAGTATTTGTTTGTTTGTTCGACTTCGCGCAAAGCTATACAAGGGCACTCTTTAACAGCGCCCACCGCCAAGTCATGAGCTGCTCTTGTCAGAACGAATAATGAAACTTAACCACCACTCTTATAACGCACCTACGCCCCAAAGCACGAAATGCAATTTTTTTGTGTGTGATAACGGGACAAGAACCATGGAAATTCATCTCTAAGTTCCGGCACCTTACCCAGCAGAAGAGTGGCGAGAAGAAGGTATGAATAAAACTCATAACCGATGGACCTATTTATAGTCATATAAAGCACTCACAGTTGGGTGGTATCCTTACTATTAACCTGCTGGGTTTGATAAGAGCTGTTAATGCTCCAAATTACAGTGTTCAGTTAGTTCTTGTACCCGGTTGCTTCAGGTAATCCCTGTGTCGTATATTTTGTGAGTTTTTTTATATACTAATCCCGTTATAGAGTCAGCGACTCACTTGTTGTAAATTGTCACCATTTCATTTACTAACTGCATTGTGTTATAGTTTTTATTGATCTTGAGATATAATATACTTCACTATGAAGTCAGTGAGTCACGTGTTGTCAACTGTCGACATTTTTACTGACTAAATGCCTTGTGTCGTTATTTTTATTAAAGTTTAGATATACTACACCACAGTATGGAATCAGCGACCTAGTCGTATCATCTATCGACATTTGTACTTACAAAATGCACTATGTAGTTGTTTTTAGTGATGTTTAGATATACTAGAACTCAGTATAGAGTCACGCGTTGTTATCTGTCGACATTTTTACTTACTAACTGCATTGTGTTGTTGTTTTTGTTGCTATTAAATATTCTAAGTTCCAGAATGGAATCAGAGATATGATTTAAATTGTCTTTGTAGACGGCAGAATTCCAGTTCTGATCTCTATGCTGTTAGGGAATGCAGGATCGACAATCCTAAAACAAGTGACCAAATACCAGCTTTGTGGAAATATATAATTGTTTAATGAACAGTCCTGACCCTGAAACATCGGACCAGTCTAACATGAATTAGTAGACGTTTACAAGTATGTTCCAGGCGATCACGTAGGTCTAGATGTGCAAAATGAAAGCTATAGTTACCTCCTCTCAATAAGTACCAAGAAATCCCATGAAGTATATGTAACTAACAACATAAAACAAGGCAACATTGTTACAGTATAACGCATTTGTCTGGCAGGGTAAACATTTATATACATACAAATACTTCGTAAGTCATGTTGTGAGGAGATTGCACATATCAGAGGTGTCCATTCACTTATAAAACAAACAAACTACTGTCGTTTTCAAAACTGTTCATGTCTATCTGTTATCATATGATAATAAAAGACAGTTTATATTGTATAAATATAGCATGGTATGTTGAGAAAATATACTAGCCTATAAGTCATGTGACTACTAACGCTGACTAGTTTTTGCCTACCAGTTTTTTACGTGGAGTAAGTACCTGGATGTTGGACATCATGGCGATTCCTTGTTTCGATTATTTAACAAACCTTAATACATCTCATTAATACCGTATACCGTGTCTTGTGTTTCGATTCTTTCTATTCGACTTTGTTTCACCTTACGAAACTCAAAAACAACATTTTTAGGTCTAACATGGGATAGATCAGACTTTATTTATGTTCTTGTTTATATTTCAAAGTAGGGTAGACCAGGGTAACCTTAGACTAAATACTATAAAGTCTGTCAGATCTTCATGTACATTTGGATTTTTTGGCTTCTAACCGTAATTACTATTCATAACATAGTTGTATGATGATACGAATGCAATAGTCTACATCTTTTAATTCACAATCTGCTATTTAATGGAAATAAATGCATCATCTTCACAGAATCTTACATACCACTCTACGCTGCGCTCATAACTATGGGTGATATATACTCTTGTACACGGGTTTTCTGCAGAGTTGTCAATTAGGGACCCTAACAAGACACCACACCATAGAGTGTCGGTTTGTGTCACTCTTCAAACTCTGACTGAGTTCACCAACAAAGAAAGAGCCAAGAAGCAAAATGGAGAAACTGCAATTTTTATTGAACAAACACAATAAATTGGTGGAAAACAAGGGGAAGTGGTGATGAGAGTGTGCTAAACTGTTGAGAGAGAGGTGTGGAAAATAAATATTTATTAGTTCTCTCTCACCAGACCAATGCGACCTAAAAGAAGGTGAGAATGTTAAAATAAAAACGAACCCTGAAGTTAAAATAAAACAAAGTTAACTAGTGAATTGGTTTTAGTGTGTTTTCCAGAATAGTAAGTAAATGTTACAATGAGTACAAAGACTTTCTGATTTGTAGGAGATTGAATTATTTGCAGTTTTCATAAGCAAATTTGATAAGCTTTTTTTTTTTAATTAGAAATCTCCTGTGTTGATGCCACACATTTATGTAATGGTTCAGTTAACTACTTGGTACAGAATACAAAATGGTGGTAAGCTCCGTCATTTTACAAGCAGTGATGATACGCAGTCATATGGTTTGTAGGCCTGTATGCAAAAAAATTATACTTTACAGTTGAAGAGGGAGATGAATAGTATATACTTGTTTCGTCAATAGACTAAATATTATCTAACAATAATTAAGTATATTTTGCCTTGCCGAAGGATCCCACTTTTTTTCACAGTGGTCCGAACGCGTAGCTTCTGCATTCATTACGATTAAATAACTTCATACTGTATTTTTTGGTTTCACGATTGATTCAATATAATTGGCTAAAAGTCATACCCGTAAAATGTTAAGAGGGAAAAAAGAAAAAGTCACAGTGCAAATATACATTCATGAGATTTTATTCTTATTATTTTTTGTTCTATTTTGACAGGCATCTAGTTCTATTAGAGAAGAGAATGATGTGACGCCTGCAAGCCGAGATCCTGTCAAGCGACCTATTGGAACCCTTATAGAGAATGACCAATTACCCAAAACACATAACGGCAACAACGCTCCATCTCTAGCTGAGGCCACTAATGACAAGATACTTCATTTCTTGGAAGAGAAGGCTTTGGAACGTTTGCTCTCAGAGTTCACACTTAAACGTAGCTCGAAACCAGCAGAAAAACGAAATATTGCGCACTTGGCTCGAAAGGGTTGGTTAACCACTTTGAGGGCGTATAGGCCGACTCGTCCTCCTCCTAAAAATCGCTATTCTCAGAGAATTTACCGGTACAACTGGAAAAGAGAGATGCTGCCATCTGGAGACGAACCAGCTAATTTTAAAGAAAACGGCTCTTTCTTTAAAGATTATGTTGAACTAAATGATGACGAATGTATTGAAACAGGTGATGCACTTGAGCCCGACTTATTAACCAAGAGAAACATCGGTGCTCTTGCTCGATCTGGTAAACTACCCCGCTCGCACGGCAGCACAAACTGGTGGGAGCTGAAAAGAGACAACTACGTCACTCCTGTTCGTCGCTTTTTTCTCGTTATTCCAAATGACCAACTTTCAATTAAACACCAACTTACAGGCATTCAAGAAAAAAAATGTAAAACTGTCCGTTAAAACCAGGTGAAAAAATGTGTCCCGTTTCGTCGGTTCTCATATAGAAGATGTTTCCAAATAAAAGCGTCATTTATTGAACAGTTGTTTCAATAATGAAGACCCTTATCATGTAATCTCCAATGATTTATCGTTTGCTCTTCCCAGTCATACTATTATGTATAACGCAGAAAATAACACAAAACTAGCACCGTACTTAATATTTAATAATATCTAAGTTATAGTTATGTTTTGTTACAGTGATTTGAATGTGTAGTATCAAGAATCGTTGTATTGTTGCTTATTGATACCATAAGGCAAATAAATCTTCAAGGTAATAGTCAGCACGTTAGTATCATATTGTTATTTATTTATTAACATGGGGTAAACAAAGATAAAAGACACTAATTTAAAAACTTGATATTTAACTACAGTCTCACACAGTTTAAACTAACGTCATTCAACTACACTTTGTTGTACGCAACCGCAGACAAGGCCCTTTGCTCAATACCAAAGGTCCTCAGGATTTCCTACAATATTTTCCAACTTCATTTAAATTACTATTTGAAATAGTTACAGAATGTTAATTTAGAGGTAACTTAAACCTATTAATTAATAAAATCAGCTGGCTTGTTTTAACGTTTCATCTTCAAACCTTTTTGCTCTAATAATTATTTTAAATGGTAATATTACACTGTTAATATTTGATGAAATATATGACATAATATACGGAAAACAATGGAACATTTAGTCCTTTAAGAATGCTTTGCACACTCACTCTTGAGTCTGATCCTGATGGTACTTTATCTGTTTCTTGTTATTGTACTTATGCTAAAGGATTAATAGTCACATGATTCAAGTCAATTACAATATTTACCATAGAGTGTTTAGGGTCAGGAATATTACTCATATTTTCACTTGTAAAAAAAGGAGAGAGCATTTAAAAGCCTAGCCATCTCATAATCTTCAACAGACATCTTGCCATCAGCATTCTAGATTTAAGGGCCCAATTCTCATGTTAATACTTTGCTTATTTTCAACATTAACATATTTTAACTCATTATCCCAATTCACTAATGATAATTTTTTCTCATGGTCTTCAAATTTGCTTTTTGAAATTAGGAACTAAATTTTAATTCCTTATTATCTTAACATGTAGTAAAACAGCAAACCTTGTTATGCAAAGATCACTCTTCCCCTAATTCAACTCTTACAACCACATCCTCATTAGTGGTTAACAATAAATATAAAACAGCAGCCTCTCTGCTTGGCTCTCTAACCATTTCGTACAGAAAACCACGCTGAATCACTTGAAGAGATTTCTCTCTATCACCATTTAACTTGTACAATCGCAGCCAATGGTCCTATAATGAAATCTTCCATAAGTATTGCATCAAAATTTTTATTAGTAACATCCTCGTCTCATTATACAGTTACTGACTGACCTCACCTGTCTGACTTATAAAAAGGCCAATTAAAACCTTTCTATGATAGAAACCTCATCAACTTCTTGACTACTGTTTTTTTTTTTTATATCTACAATACAAAGAGCCTGTAGTTCATAATTTATTTCATGAACCACCCCACCCTATCTTCTGAAAAGACTATCACTATTAAATAATTTATAGGCTGGAATTCCAAAACAAATCCAACTATCAATCATGGCCTTCCGGGGAGGGGGGGAGCAAGTGCCCCTTACCCTCCCTACGGATGCCCATGTTATCAATGTTCTACAACTCTAATTAAGTTTCGACTATTTCCATAATATCATTGCCTTTGATGTCATCTTGAGCTCTGATCTCATTCATTTTGTTCTTAAGACCTCTAACTTTAGAATAATTGGAACTAAACTTGTTCTTGAATCTTATGCTCTAAACCTATTTCATAACACCTCGTTGCTCTGTCTATCCTATCATTTTGTTTATTCTAAATTTTTCACGCTGCTTGGCCATTATGCAGATTCTGTTTATAGTATCTTTATGTATACACTTAGAGCTTTCTCAAGCATCGTACTACTTAAACAACATGAGTGGAACCCATCTGTACAAAAACACAGTGTCATTTTTTGTTTGAATTAGTTAACATAGTGCTTAGATTTAATGCCCTACTAAACACTCTCCTAAATAAGCTAACATGGTGTATTACAACAATTATGAATCATCAAATTATAATTATTAGCAGAAATGAAGAACGCCTTGCTTTAAAGACAATGACTGTAAGATTGTTTACCAAACCCAGAGCTGAACTATCAGGTAACATTTAAATCTTATAACTATGCCAGTTTTCTGAACCCTTAGAAGCGCATTGTAATTAGAATCTCTGCCGTTCATTCAACATATCTCACTAACCGCATATTGTCTGAATTATTACTGGAGACAAAACGAAGCCTTTCTAACAAACGTTTTCAAATTACTGCCATCGAGATGTTTAAAAAGAAGAGGGAAATAGAAATAATAGAAGACTTAGTAATGCAGAAAGACTGTTCTGCGATGAAGTTAAATATGTACTTAGCTGTAAGAACTGTTTTGGGGCAAATAAAAAAAGGTATTAATGAAAGTGGATAGAGCTTTAAATAAACTGGTATATTTTAGGTGTTTGGATAACATTTGACATAATGTCGCAATTAATCATCTATCAATATTCAGAGGACTCACTGATTATTTAGTTGTCAATTTCTTTTCCTCACCAAAACGTGAATTACAGAGGCCATATCTATTCTTTGAGAACGAAAGTTTCAGGTGTAACCATCTTTAATTCAGAAATGCCTATCAGAAGGAAAGGGGAACGAGTCAACTATACTGCCACTTACCTGTATATACGTTTGATTAGCCGAATTGCGAAATCGAATGGAACGATTATAATGTTACGCATTATAATATCGCGCATACAGCGACATATCACGACTTGAGCCTTGTGACTTCTGATCTGTAGACTAGATCATAAACCACAAGGCCACACCACCCCTTCAAAAAAAAAAAAAGTAAGCAATGCTTCAAACACATTTCTGATGCAAACAGTTAATTGTAATCTACAACATAACAATGATATGCCATGTATAAGTATATATAAACGATAGCGTCCTCTACATGGAAACTTCACATTTAGTTTGGTATCTCGAACTGAACACAGACTGAAAGATAGGCATGTAGATATACTAGCAGAAATTAATTAAATCAATGAGTTTTAAATTAATTATTCGACTTCAATATCATTTTATTTTTAATTCTAATTTTAAATCATCTTTTCGACTAAAAAAAAAGAATGATTCCTGACAAGCAAAAACTTCCTTTTTTCATTTACGTGAAATCTACTTTACTAGTACACGTAAAACAAACTCTGACACGTTTCGTTATCTACATTACTAGTACATGTAAAACAAACTCTGACACGTTTCGTTATCTCTTATTTTTTAATATTACTTAATTAAGTTAGATTAAAAACTAATCTAAGGTGCTTTATGTGATGGACGAGAGAAAACTTGAGTGATATGAACCCTTGATCATTAAAATACTATGACAATATTTGACCTGACAGTAGTATCGCAACAACTTGAGGAATGTCAGGAAATATATCACGAGTTGAATCTGAATTTTCTGATACTGAATGAGCTTGAAGAAAGAGGCTCAGCAAAATATAAAAACAAATAGAAAATTAATACTTATTTAGAGTAAAAGAATCAAAGGCAAACGAGTGCACTTAACGATGTAACAATGCTTCGCTGGAAATCTGACTCTAGACTTTGTTCCAGATTAACACTTACTTGTTGACTAAAATTTTACCAGATAAAGTAAGCATAACTTTATATACAATATTCTATAATACCGCCTCTCTCTGTGTGCACAAATGCTACTCACATCATTATTGTTCATTTCAATAGAAAAATACAGAATATAGCCCAAGCCATTAACCGACCTTCAAGTGGAAAAGTTCACTGTCCTCCTTTACAATAGTTCTAGTATACAACAATCTCTCCTGTGAGAAAGCACACGCGAATCTTTAGAAAAGTGACCCAGAACAATTGATAGCTAGAGCAAAAGGAATCCTGCCCATCTTTTTACTGTCAAAACAACGCAATTGTTATAGAAGATTCTACAGAACACATATAACTGAAATATTAACTTACAACAGAATCACTAATAATGACGACAACATATCGGGTAGCAAATATCAATGCATCAAGAAGCAAACGCATTAAATTTGTGTTTTGCAAGAACTGTCAGGAATTTGACAATAGTGCGGGCAATAAACAATAAAGTTCGAGCTATTTTTTAGTGGAGGACTTGTGTCCCGAAAACTGTGAAAAGGAAAAGCTATGTAAACCAATACAGGATTGATAAAAAACGGGAGATTTTGTAAAGGAAATTTTATACTAACGGAATATTATGTGATAATTTGTATTATCTATATAAAAAACTCAAAATCTCTGTCTGTTTGTTTGTTTGCTTACTTGCTTGCGCAGGTCACACTTCTTTTACGTGAAAGTGTGCAAAACGACAATTTTTTTGTTGATATACTCGTCTATCATCTGCTAGTCGAACCGATAATTTTATTGTTAACATATACATTACACACATAAATTCTGCGCAGACTTGACATTTTTTGGTAAGTATAAGTTAACATTTAATTTATAATATAGCATTATAGGCCTATTTAGTTATAGATCATTAACTATACATCTACTAATACATCGTTTATTTAGTCTCATACACAAATTGTGTAAAATGAGATTAAAGTCAAGTCAGTGAATGAATTTTATTCTAATTTTTTTTTCTCCCGGTGGTTCCATACCTGGAAGTGGATTTTTTTTATACATAAAGCACAATATTGTATTTTGTTTGTAGTACATTTCATAAAAATATATTAAATTTACATTAAAGCAAATTCAACATAATATTACATACACACTTACGCTTGAAATTTTAATATTTGATATTTGAGGAGGGATGATAGGGGATGGGGGAATATAGTTAGGTATATCCTGTTCACTAGAACGGGTGCTCGTACGTGTATAAGATAATCTAAATATTTTTCCATAAGGGCCTATTTATTCTTGTCAATGAAGGAAAAACAAACAAAAACATCGTTTATAAGGAAGCTCTGATTTAAAACAGGTACGTAATATATTTTCAAAAATCAAACCTAAGATTCTTTTTTTTTCATAAATTCACAAAATATTTTTTACCTATCGAAATACGGAACAATAAAACAGAGAGAGCAGTTTTTTTTTTCCAAAACCCAGGCAACACTGCTAGTAAATTAATATTAGTTATATATATAAATATGAAGTATGGATTAATTAGCGATAGACTAGATTTGTGACAGTGGTGAGCAGGTAAATAATTTTGAG